CCCTCCCAATTCCCCTGCTCTTTTAGACCTTTTCTTCCTGTTACACAACATCAGTTATACATTTTTTAAATTACAATATTAAGATCTAGGAGACATTACCACAGATTTTATAGAATTTAAAAGGATATAGAAAGCATATTACAAAAATCTTTTTTGAAATAAGGAAATTTCCAATTTAAAAATCTTGTTCTCTGACCATCTGTCTTTTAGATTACTTCAATGAATGTGTCAGCCAATTAACTTATTTCTCTTTTACCATCCTATGCAGCCCCTCAGCTTTTTCCTGTCTTTACATTTTTCTTCATTCATGGACCATCACTATGATTACTTTCAAGATCATAGTTTATCATTATAATCACTACTTTGCAAACAGTTTTATAACTTGTGTCTCTCTTTTCTTTTGAATTAAATAAACAAAACTCAAATCCTGAATGAATGGACCTTCTGTTTTCTTATTCTTTGCACCTTAACATCTGAAAATTCCTGGAGGGAAAATCATGCAATTTAGTACACTGTTATCATTTTAAATGAACTAACAAATCCAAGTGAACAATCCAAAACTGTCCAGCATTTTTCTCTAATAAATACTTGTCTATTTCCTGAAGTCTCTCAATTTCTTTTTTCTTCAGTTTTTCCCTTTCTTCACTATTAGCCAGTGATTTCACCTTATATTTTGAGAATATAGAAACCAACAATTAGTAATTATTTTCCTTTTACAAAATCTATAATCTTTTTTTTTGGTACCGGGGATCAAACTTGGGACTTTGTGCTTGCAAGGCAGGCAACGGAACCACTGAGCTAAATCTCTGGCCCCTAAAATCTATAATCTTTAACCCTCTTCCTATCTCAATAATCTCTTCCTCTCCTTTGGATCTGCTACTTTAAGCCAGAAGTTCTCATATGGTTTTGGTTATGAGTATCCATATTTCACTCTTAAAAAAAAATTCATTCATTATGAACTAAACAACATGAAAAATGTCTATTTCCAAAAGATAGTGGCATGATATTGTTTTATAGTTTTGCAAATCTTCTTAAATACCTGACTTAACAGACATTCTGCATATGTGTGGCCACTGTATTGTTTGGATATAAAAATCTTATCTCCCAGATAAGTAGTTAAAAAAATGGGGATGTACTCTAGTTATTTTATAAATAACTGGATATTATTCTTTGACACTATATTAAATTTGACTAAGTTATACACAACATAGGTTCTGAAATCATCAAACAATAGTTATTTTTTATAAATCCAATGATCTCTTTTGTACTCTGAGTCCATCTTTTACTCATGCATGAGTTTGTAAAATCAATCACTGATCACTGAAAACATTGGTTCACCAAGTTACATTTCTTGATGTGGATACATTTAATTATATAATAAAGAAAAAATCACATTTATCAATAACATCACTAATATCAGTAAAGTCTTTGGGAAGTTGTCAAGCTCAGGGTGGCACATAAAAATTTTCCAAAATTATCATTTTTGCTTGAAACCTTAACTTTTATCATTGTCAACAAATTTCAACTGTTTTCCTTGCAGTGACAGGTTTACTTCATTACAAGAAAATGTCATATACTCAAGTGAATGGCTTGTTATTCTTTCAAGTTAGAAAGATGTATTCTCAAGCATCAAGATTTAATAAACAATTTTTACTGCTTCATAAAGAATGATCTTCAATGAACCTTTTTTATTGTTGTTTTGCTTTTTGCTTTTACCTGTAAGTACAGGGCAGCAACTTGGTGCCACTGCCCTGATTTCTGCAAAGGCAGTATCAAGGTTTACCCACTGTTGCTTTTGTGCCCCAAATACAAATATAAAAATAATAAAAAGCCAAATAATGGCTTAGGATGAAAATAGTTTGCCTTTCTGAAAGAACCACATGTCTCTAAGCTATTACCTCCTGTCTAGGTAATACAACATTTCCACAGCTAATCTGCATTCACCCAATTCTCTCTCTAGGTTGTTGCCAAAATGATTTTCTTGGATCCCATTACTTGCTACTTAAAACTGTTCAAAGGTTTCTAATTTTCCCTAGAGTGAAATCCTAATTCTTTACAATAGGCAATAAGACTCTACATTAATTTATTCCCTACCTATATTTCCAAATTCATCTCCCCAATTCACAAGTTCCAATAATATCAATCATCTTTCATTTCCTTGAAAAATTCCTTCAGTGTTTTTGCTTACTTCAGCTCTGTTCAAAAAAATGTTCTTCCCACAACATGCTATCTATTAAACTCAAACATAATCTGTTCCAAGAAATCTCCCTGACCACCCCGTTCTCCCGTTGTTCTCTATTATATAGCACTCTGTCTCCAGCTACTTGTTAGTCTAGGTCCCTTACAACAGAATGCAAAGTTCATAAAAGGTGAAGGGCAATTTGGTCTTATTTTATCACAGTAGGTACTCTCATTATTTACTGAAACAATTAATATAGGTTTTAAATGTTTCTATTAACCAGTAAGAATTCATCCTAAAGTATTTATAGAATATTAATTGGTCTGTTCTCAAACTTTAAATTCTGACTACCTTATTGAATGAGCAGTTATACTAAATCTTATTATATATTTTTTAAAAACAAAAAATTCTCTCTAGCTCTTATTTTCCTTCTTAGGATTTTAAAACTTACCATGTATGGCTTCTTGGTAACCAGGTATCTTTCCCAACTTTTTCAATACAAAATTTTTGAGGCCCATTACTTCCTAAACCAAGAAAATAAAATATTTATCAGATCCTTTAAACTTTATGGTTTTGACAGCTAAATAACAGAAAGTGTCACAAAATTATATGAATGATACAAAATAAAGAATTTCACAACAGAGAAGCTGCTTAGTGCTGTAGAGACCTAGCAATTAAGAAGGACATCCATGGCAAGAAAACTACAGTTCCACAGAAGCTGGCTTTCTTTACAATCACCTAGGGAGCAAAGCCCTGCCCTCTAGACTATGAAGAAACTCAGGTTTGCCTCCCACATGCCTTTGATATTAACCATTATTGTTTTTTACAGTAGAAGCCTTATATAGAGCTCAGAATTATAATCCTCTGGGTCAAGTCTACCGTAGGTCTAAAGGTTGTTATCATAAAATTATCCACAAGCTGCAGTGAGACTGCATTTACCCATGAGCTCAGCAAATCCTCCCAGAGGTAAGCGGCAGGTTCCAGTGACAAACTGCAATAGTCGCATTCTCACTTCATTGTCTGTCTCTTTCACAAACTGTGTAATAAAACCAAATGTACTTTAATATAAAATGCTAAATTTTTATTTATAATTAAAATAGTTGAAAAAAGTAATATTTAACACACAAAGTTCAAAAGATGTGTGACAAGTAGCATTTATCATTTCTTCGGGTTAGGCACTATGGTAACTAAATACCATAGTACACACTTAGATGGGCCACTGTTGTTACTACATCCATCGTATCAAAAGGAAATAAAAGGGAGGCTTACCCAGATCAAGTCACTTGTGTAAGGTCATAGCAGTACTGGTGAGCAGGATAGAAGTCACCTATAAAAGCTATCACCTTCTGAGGGCCTCTGAAAAGCATTGTGCCATATGCTTCTCCTTTATTTAGATCTCATAACAATTCTATGACATAGGTATGATCATCAGCATTGCCATTGTACATGTAAGAAAATGGAAGCCCACATACAGTAGTACCTTGGTTCACAAACTTAATTTGTTCCACAATTTTAGAAAAAATGGCCATATTTGTATTTGTGTGGGAAAGATGGACGTGGTTGTTTTTGTCACCCAATGCAGAGTTTGCAAACAAAAACAAAATTTTGCCAAACGAATAAGAAATAAGAAATAAGGGAAAACCAAATTGTTTACAAAAAGTGTTTATGAACTGACATACCACTGTACTGTAGTTTAAACAATGCAGTATGTCCTCTTCAAGCTGTTGTTAAGTGGCAGAACATATGAGCTCAAATCTGGTTGACCTCTAAATCATTGTTACGCTTCCTTGAGTCAATGAACACTTCCTCGTTGCGAGTCTCCATAGTTAGTAGTATTTTTTTCTCACTGAATATTTTCCAAGGTATTTTAGGCTTGAAAAATGGATATCTATCTACTTGTCTATCTCAGAATTCAAAAGGTAGTAAAAGGGTAAATAATGAGAAGCAGCTTTCCTAGCTTGGCCTCCCATTGCTCAGCTCTTTTCTACAACTGCTGCCACTTTTTCTTTTTTTTTCCTCTTTCTTGCTTTTTCAGAAATGGTATATTCATACACCAGTATATACTTTCATTACAAAGAATTTTATAGGGCTGGGGATTTAGCTCAGCGGTTCCAGCGCCTGCCTCGCAAGTGCAAGGTACCCAGTTTGATCCCTGGTACCAAAAAAGAATTTTGTAGTAATACTATCCTGGCAGACATTTAGATTATCTCAAGTTTCTCTCAGTGTACCAACAATGTTGCATTATTTTCTTGGTATGTGCCATTTTACATGTTTTGAAGCACAGTGTATTTAAAGATTTCTAGGAGTGTCCACACTTAAAATATTATGCAATAAACTAAGCACAGTATCCTATGAAAAGATGTAGCTTTTGGAAAATATTTATTACAGTGATACTTCGGTTGCTGAACTCAATTAGTTTCAAATTTGTGTTCCAAACACTGCCAAGTGTGAGAACTGAACATATTTTTCCCATAAGAAATAAGGGAAAACCAAATAACTGGTTCTGAGGCCCCAAGATTACAATTATAAATTCATTTTTCCAGTACTTTAACAAATTTCACAATGACTTTTTTTCTTTAACTCTATCATGAATCTCAGTTTTCCTCTTAGCTTTACTGGTGCTATCACTTACTTTGTTTGGAGCCATGGTTATGATATTTTATGCAAATAAAGCACACACACACAGAGCACAATGATGGATATTTCAAAGCATAAACACAAGCACTACGTGGAGTCTGTACAAGAGTGGTGCTTAGACTGCAACATCATCCTTGTATGCCCAGCGACGAGACATAACACTTGACTCACTCTCGGCCCGTACAGTTTTTTTCAAGTTGGATTTTCAGTTTGACTATCTTGCAAAGTTACGAAAACCAAGCAGATTTTTTCAAACTTTGCTGTTCAAGTAGTGGAAAGTTTGAGCGTGGACATGCTTGACAACCAAGGTATCACTGTAGTAATATAAAACCCTAGCTTTTCAGGTGAAAGAAAAACAGTTACGCAGAAGTAAACCAAAAATCTAATCATAAGTTGGTCAAATGAATCTCCATTAGAATATGTGAAGAACTGAAGACTATTCCAGGACTACAGTTTTTCTTTTTAATTGGTACTGAGGATTAAGCCTAGAGTCTTCATACTGAACCATATCCCTATCCCCTTTTTATTATTTTATTTTTAAACTTTTATTTTGAGAAAGGGTCTCACTAAGTTGTGCAGACTGGGCTCCAAGCTTATAATCCTTCTGCCTCAGCCTTCCTGAGTGCTGGGATTATAGGTGTGCACCACCATGCCCTACTGAAACATTCTGATACTGCTAGAGAAAAAAGCTATCCCTATAACTGCTACCATTAACTTAATGCTTAAATAAGATTCTGTTATTCATTCCTTCATTTAGAAAGACAATGAAATAAAAGAAAATACCTTTAACAAGTGTTCAAACTACTTACTTCAGATTTAGAATTGGAAGATTAAAAACTAAGTTCAAAAGCATCTTCATTTAAGAAAAAAAACTTTTTAAAAAGGATATTTCAGGGCCAGGGATTTAGCTCAGTGGTTCTGCCACCTGCCTCGCAAGCACAAGGACCCGAGTTCGATCCCCGGTACCAAAAAAAAAAATAATAATAAAAAATAAATAAAATAAAGAAGGATATTTCATTGGAAAACATTTTCCTTGAATATTATGTTTCAAAAAGATAAACCAAGTACCTGCCAAAACCAAATTATTTGTTTGCTGTTTCTTGTATAATGTCGATAAACAGTGTTTCTTTGCCAATCTGCTAAGTCAACCTCCTGCATGCCACACAGCATAACCTGGGAAACAAGCATCGTTATCAGGCAACACTGAAAATTTGGCAAACAGTACAACTATATGAGTGAAATGTTCTGGGACACAGTTAGTAACATGGCCTAATTATGTGAGCAGCTATGTACGTGGCAAATAATGATCACAGTAAGCAAATGCAACAAAATTTGTGGGAACACAGCACAAAGGATTCTTCTATTTTACCATGTTCATTGAACACAAACTGAAAACAGTATTTTTCAAGAAAATCTACTGAAAAGAGCATATACTTTATAATATATACATATCCTGAATTGGTATATAAACTTAAATAAATTTTAAGTGCATTTTTTGGTAAATCTATGCTAATAATATATATAATGAAATATATACTAACTTCCTGTTATTTATCCAGCTAATTTGGGAATATTCTATTTGTGAAATTTTCAAACAAGCCCATCTTGTCAAATATGGGATAAAAATTATTTTAAGTACAATAAAGTATGTGATATTTCTATGTTCCTTTTGTAGGCAAACCATCAATACCTTTAGGTGATCAAGGGCTTCTCCATTTATAAATGTCTTTTTAAGACTGGCAGGTATGTGCACATATGCATGATTCTGTCTGTAGCATACACACATTTTTTTCTGGTTCCCCTCCCTCCACACTTACATGTTTCTGAAATTCATCTATGTTGTTGTGGATACCAATCATAGTTTCACATCACTGAGTAGGATTCCACTGCTATGAATATATAATAATTTGTTTATTCACTTACTGATGGACACTTACAATGCTTTCAGTTTTTGGCTTTGATAAATAATATTGCAATGAACACTGATGTACAGGTATTTGCGTGAATATTTCATTTCAACCGAGTAAACACCTACAGGTGCAACTGCTAGGATATAAAGTAGCTGTACATTTAATATTCTAAGAAACTGCCAATGCTATCTCAAAATGGTATTTCATTTAGTTTTAGTTTTTATTTCCTCAATGACTAATGACCATCACACTCCATGTGTTCACTTTCTTTTTTTAACTAATCCAACCTTACTTTAGTATCTTATTCATTATAGTCATTTATATTGCTGATAACCTAGGAATACTGAAGTGAATTTAGAAACAAAAGTCATTGTTATGTTGCTATATTGATTTACATTGAATATATGGTTCATTGTCTTGAGACAGGGTCTCACTATGAGGAAACACCTCAAACTCCTAGGCTCAAGTATCTTCCTGTCTCAGCCTCTGGTGTAGCTGGGACTACAAGCATGCATCACTACACCTGCCTGTGTATATTCTTTTTTGAAGTGTGTCTTTGTCCATTACAAGTTTTTCTTTGTCTCTTTATTATGCTATGATCAAAGTGGGAGAGTGGTTTTGCCAGAGGCTGAGAAGATATCAGGTATTGTTTAATGGGTATAGAGATTCCATTTTACAAGATGAAAAAGTTCTATACATTGGATGCACGATAATGTAATTTTACTTAATATTACTGAACTACATAATTGAAAATAGTTAAGATGATGAATTTTACAGGGATTTTATCATACATAACCAAAAGAATTCTTGATATGCTTCTAAGCCTAAATACAGTTAAGACCACTAAGAACTCATTTTTTGAAAATCTAGTCTTTGAAGTAACTCATTACTGAAGCTAGATTTCAGAAATTTCCCAAATTATCACTCTCCCTCTTGCTATGATTAATGTCACCTAAGCATTAAGCAAATTAAGTGGATGCAGTTTTGTGCTACATGAATTTTGTTTTGTTTTTGTGTTCTATTTTTGTTTTGTCTGTGCTACATGATTTTAAAATGTGTTGACATGTTGTATAAAAGCACAAAACAGCTCACCTTCCATTAATATTCCCCACAATAGCAAAATGAAAGAGCCTAACCTCCAATTCTTTTTCATCAAAGTACTGTAGCCACTGAAGTGGAACAACTTCATTAAAACCATCAAGGAAAGCTTTGGTCTGTTCTTGTACTCCTCGAGAAAAACGCCATTCTGTCATTAAACTGAAAAGAAAAATGCTATTTTAAAATAGGTCATTTGTAAGTGAAGTTAAAGGACTAAAACTACTAAAAACTTCTAAATTTTTTTTTTCTAAACATACCACACACACACACACACACACACACACATATAAAAGAGATATGTATATTATGTGTATACATATGTAATTTTGGAGTTAACATGCCTCTCCATAAGGAAATCTGTCCTAACACATCAGTAGCTATTAAAAAGGATTTAAAAAAATAAATGTAAGAGATTCTTCATTTATCAGTAAGAAAGCCAAATTCCACCACACATCATTTTTTGGTATATGAAGACCACTTCAAATAGTGTGTGCTGCCTCAGGAAAGGCATGGCTCATCATTTAAAAGGCTCTTTTGCCAGGCTGGGGATTTAGCTCAGGGGTTCCACTGCCTGCCTTGCAAGCGCAAGGTCCTGAGTCCGATATCTGGTACAAAAAAAAGGGGGGGGGGCGGCTCTTTTTCCACCACGTGTTTGCAAGAAGACTGGAGAAGACTGCCTGCCTCAAGGGACTCTCAGTAACATGTAATGATGATCTGTCTGTAGGCTCTGGGCTTTGGACAGGCTTATCATTTGAGAAGACCTGAAGCTGGATAATAGGCCCTTTACATACTGATTTGCTGAACAATATGAAGATTTCCTAGCCAAAAGAGAAAAAAACAAAGAAGATCGGGCAGTTGAGGCCGGAGGACTTGAATTTGAAGCCAGCCTGCATGGTACATACCAAGACTTCATCTCAAAACAATCAAAAACGAACAAATAAGGAAGAAAATCTGTTACCAACACAAGATCTGTATGAGGAGCTAAAAGGATAGGGGTGAGAACCACATTCCCTCAAGAAATAACAAATACCACCTGATAAGATTGAAAAAGTAAACTTCAATCATCAAATCTTTCAATTTACTATTCTTTCTCTCAATCCATATAAACCAGCAATCACTGAAATTTGTATAATCCTATTCCTGTAATCCCTTCATTTTTATTGTGACTACATCAGCCCTATTTCAAGCCTATAATACACTTCACCACTACATTTCTGAAACAACACCCTCATTAGTCTGCTGGTCTCCGGTCAATCCATTTCCCAACTCTCACTCCCAATTCACCCTCCACAGAGGTATCAGAATTATTTTTTTGAAAACAATTCTGATCATTTCATGTTGGTTTATAGCTGTAATTTTGAGCAAAAACTCATGTCTTGTAGAATAACTATTTCCTTAAATTAAGGAGAAATTAAATTAATTTGGCTGCTATTTTATGCTCCAAACTAGCTATTTCTCACCTTGTAACATTCCTACAGGATTGTAGCTGCCCAAGATAAATTAATCCCTCTGTCCCCTCAATTCCTTCCTTCTTGCTGTTTTCCACCTCCCCAGAAACACTCCATCAGGAGAGCTCTTATGTATCTTTTAAGACCTAACTTATACACATCATGTTCATTGAAGAGCTTTCCAGGCTCATCCCAGAAAATCAATAGCTCTTTTCCCACTTTGGATTCCAACAATACTATGTACAGATCTCTACCATTCACTTACTCTCAGGTTTGCTGAGGTCCTAGTTGGTGACTAAAAATAGCGATTCACTACTAAAAAGAGAGTACTAGGCACATAATTTTCAAGAACAAGATTAAAAAATAAACTTATTGAGACAAACAAAATCCTCCAAAAATTGTATTCAGGATTAAATTATCAACTCTTAAGAGTAGGTGCTATACAGATAAAGATTTTAAAATAGAGTAGTTAGCAAATACTATAAATCTCATATGTTGAAATTTTATTTAAACTGATTTTGTTATCTGAAACCATTTAAGCATTTAAAAAAATGCTCGGGTTGTTCTATTTAATGATTACTGCTGGACTTTATAGAAAGCTAAAGGCTTAAGGAATACAGAAAGCAGGACCTTCTTTCAGGATACCAGCTGAAGCTACCTAAGCCTCCAGTGGGGCACCTAAGAATGGCCAGGGAGGGTCCTCTGGGTAACCCCACCCAACCTGGGGCTGGGGAGGCAGTGCCTACCCCGTTCTCAGCAGTGAACTACTATGCAATACCCATATTCTATATGCACGAGTCCCTGAAGGTGGGGTGGGGGGTTGCTGGGGGCCCCACCTGCCCACCTGGCCCTGCCCAAGGTGACTGGGGGCAAGGCACTGCCTAAGGATTGTTGGTTGCATTTAGGGTTTTTAAAACAGAAAACAAAAACAAAGCATTATGTGACTTGCTTCTTTGTTCTTGAAGAATACTGGAATGTTTAGGGACCATCTGGGTTGGGCTGGGCCACTACTCAGTGACCCAACCCCCAAGTCTTGCAGGGTTGTGGTAACAACCCTGGTTGGTGGCCGGTCAGGTTGCAGTTAGGTCCTCTGGTCACCTGTCATCTGTGGACTGGCCTTTTGAAAGACAAGGTGGGGTGAGGGTGGGGGTGCTGTTGGGCGTGCCCCCCATTTCTCGCCCATTGGTAGTCCCGATCACCTGGGATTCTCTGCCTTTTCATATTAAAGAACAAATGGACCTTCTCCCTGCTGCAGGTGCCTGTGGCTGCTATTTTATGCTCCTTGACTCTGGAATGCTGGGCATAATGCAAACAGCTTTCATCTTTTCCAGTAAGAGCAATAAAAATGCTTATTCCATAACAAAGCAAAACTAAAATGCCTCAGAAAGTAGAAAGATATAGAAAGAAGAAAATCAGTTGTAATTTCTGTCATCCAGAGATAACTATTTAGCAAAAACTCTTGTGTAAGAGGCCTTGAATGCCATACTAAGAAGCTGGATTAGAAAGTAAACAGAGACACTAAAGATGTAAAAGTTTAATCCCCATAGCAATTTACAAATTAAGAAGAAAAACAGGATGGCTATAACTTTGTGGAAAGGCAACACAGTCCTCTGACCCAGAAACTTTATTTTTTGACAATCTTTTACAAAAGGATAAGGAATATCTTGCTACTGAGAGGAAGTATGGATTCACGCTTAAGGGGGTACTCTGCCACATTTAGATGTTACTTTAATAGAAAACTGAAATTATGGTAGCAGAGTATTTATAGAAGCAGGCTGAACCAAGAGTCTTGGGAAAACACCACATTGAAGAAATGGAGATTTAGAGAACTAGAAGAGAAAACGAGGAAAATCAAGATGGTATAGGATCATAGAATTCAATACAATAGAGGGTTTCAAAACAGAAGGTGTGATGAGCACTATTAAAAGCATAAGTTAAAAGTGGGAAAGTGGCAGCAAATACAAATGAGCCTTAGATTGACAGCAAAAGCTTGGGTTTCAGACTTGATTTTGGTTCTACCTAACAGAGCCTCAGACTTTTAACAAAAAATGAAGGGGCTACATAGTTTTAGCAGAGGCCTTTTTCAGGGTCATCTTCATGTATCTGTGGTCTGGGCAAAAGCAGCATGCTTCAACGGCAATGGAAAAGTAAAGGCTGTTGTACATTTTGTTATTTCAAGAATACTGGTACTACTGTACAGGAAAAAATTAAGGGCACAGAGTATTTAGCTATGTTGTGTAATAAGTATATAACCTTACCCAATATATTCATCTTTATTCTCCTCAGTCACCAGGATGTTAGAACCTCCCAACTTCAGGTCATGTGAAGTAACCTTACCCAAAATCTCCATGTCAACAGAGAAATACATCTCTAAGCCACATTCTTCAATGTTGTTATCTCTGGGTTAAAAAATGAATGAATAAATAAATAAATAAATACACACACATAACAAAAGATATATAAATGAGTTTCAAGAAAATGCATTATTGAAAAATAAATCTTCAAACCTTATCCAGATAAGGGAGTTATAAAATTCAGTATCAATGGATTCCAAATCCTTAATAGTAAGTTTTTTACTTAGCATGCGCTTGTAGAATGGTAAAGAGAAGCCAGTATCAATAAACTTTCCATGAAATAGTGCCTGCCAGGAAAAATAATTTTATTTAAAATTTACAAAATAATAACTTATTTAGAGTACAATGATAACAAGGAAATCCTCAGCCTTTATAGACAAAGAAAATTAGTAAGTAAATGGCATTAATCATTGAAATGAAAACGTATGAAATGCTAAGTATGCAAACAGTTTAAAGAAAATCTATTTCACAGACGAACATCTAGCTCTATAATGTACTACTAGAAACTACAAATAGGAAGTAAAGGGCTTTATTACCAACCACACCCCTCGTTCTAATATGTTTTATAAATAAACCCACCTGGATGCAGAAAACTTGGATACACCTGAAAAGAGATCTCTCCCATTTCTTCATTTTTATAATGGCTACAAGATTTTCAGGATGATTGTGGCATTTATCCTATTCATTACAGCCAACACAGGAAGAAGCTCCAGGCTCCCAGGAATCTCTATCATCTCTCAGCCCCCTCACAAAGTTATTCTCCCCTTTACTCAGTTTAGATTCTCTCATCAATCACCAAAATTACTCTTTGATATCTTCAAACTCTGTCTCCCCCACTGTATTTCTGGCAAAATCTCAAGTCTAGCTAAACTCAATTCTCAGTTTATTCAATGCCTACACCTAAGCAGTAGAACAAGCTAGAAATGCATTTACCATCTAAGTGTTTCATGACCAACACCCTAAAGTGGTAGCTTAGTGTTGCCTGGTAATCTCTCCCAGTCTCTACTCCTCTTTCCTCAAATACCTCCTTTTCCCCACTCCTCACTCTGAGCTGATGATCACACTTCTGTTTCATAGAGGAAATAGCAATCAGAAGAGAACTTTTGTGTGTTCTACTAAATCTTCTCACTACTAGCACCTGAGACTACACATGCTTATTATGAATAAACTTTCTATTACCTCTACGTACTCTAATAAATCTCTTCCTCACCCTCCTCAAGGTCACTGTTCCCATATTCCTGGTATTACCAACTTCATCAAATTCTTTTTTATTCCTCATCAAATTCTTTACATTCAAGCTTAGCATGGTGGCACATGCCTGTAATCTCAGCACAATGGGAGGCTAAAGCAGGAGGCTTGCAGGTTTGAGCAGTCTGGGCAATTTAAGAAGGCTCTGTCTCAAAATAAAAATATAAATAAATGAATGAATAAACAATTAAAGTGCCAGGATATAGCTCAAAGACCCTACCTAGGTTCAATCCCTAATACCAACAAAAAAGTTATTTTTCTTTACCCTCTTACTTGATCATCACTATCAAAAATACAATTCCTCTCACCTTCTTTTGTTTTGGTCGTGGTGGTAATTAAATCTAGGGCTTCATGTACTCTAGGCAAGTGCTCTACCACTGAGCTACATTACATTACTAGCCCTTTTGACTTTATTTTGAGACTGGGTCTCATTAAGTTGGCCTTGAACCTGTAACCTCCTGCCTCAGCCTTCTCAGTAACTGGATTACAAGCGCATGCCACCAAACATGGCATTCTCTTCCTATTCCTGACTCCATATCCATTTCTATATACTAATTGTCTATTATCCTTTATGACAAACTTTTCTGAAAGATTTATTTATATTTGCTGTCTCCACTTCTTCCATTCTTTCTTGATTTCCCTGGTGTCAATCTTTCCATGCTACCATTCATGAGTATCTTTCCCCTTATCAAATGAAGTAATTTCCAGGCCTCCTCTTGGCAATCAAGTAAGTACCATGCTCATCCTATTCCTGAGATATGATAGGGTTAGTCATGGCTTCCTTTTGAAATACACTCCCTTCTTCCCTTCTCTTCTAGAAACCAGTCTTATATTTGATTTTCCTATTTCAGCTCTTTTGCTGTTTCCTTCTCATCTCCCCAATTTATAAATATCCTTGAATCTCTTTCTCTGTGCACACTTAATTCTAAACAATCACAAACACAGCCTTTTAATGTTCTCTACATGCCCAGAACTCTTGAATGCCTTTTACTAACCTAGATATCCCCTTAATGCCAAACTTAAATATCTAGTTTCCTATTTATTCTACCCCACTACATGGATCTTTACAGGCATCCCAAACACAGCAACCCAAATCCAAATTCTTGATTTCCCCCATCTCCCAAATTTGCTCTTGTTATGATCCTGATCATTTCAATGAATGGCAACTGAAACCAGACACACAGACCATAAATTCTGGTGCCACATTTTCTCTCACAGTTTGTATTAGCAGATGATCCATTTAGTTCTAACCTTTGCTGTACTACACAAATCCAAGCTGCATCATCTTTCACCTTGATTGCTACCAAATGATCTTCCTGTTTCTACCCTTCTTCTGCCCCCACTTACAGCATCTCTTGTATATAGCAACAAAGGGTGTTTAATAAAATTTAAGTCAGATCATGTTACTTACTTCAAGTCACTCAACACACTGCTCAAAACCTGTATGTAAAAGTACCACAGAGTATTTTTCAACCTCATCTTCTACTAACATTGTCTCTCATACACCCTGCTCCAGCCACAGTGGTCTCTTTCTCAATCAGGAATGCACTTCCCCCTAGAAGCCCTTGTCTTGCTATTCCCTATACCTAAAATGTTCTCAAAGGTATCTGCATGATCCAGTCTCCATTCATGTATCACATATCAGAAGTCTCCTTTAACCACACTATATGAAAGAATAGCACCTTTTCCCTCAGCATATACTTACTACTTTTCTCTCTCCTGTAGAATTTAGCTTCCTAAGAGTAGTGACTACATCTTTTTTTCATCTCCAGAGCCTAGAGTAGTACTCTGCATTATAGCAGGTGCTCAGTTAATATTGGCTGAATGAATTGATAAGACAGTGCAAATAAATACACATAGGTCTCTAAGGAAAATAACTCTACGAGGGCTTCAATTCCTAAATCATCAATCAACTACACTTATTAGGTAACTGATTTTCATTTTATAAAGAAAAGTGCTCATACTATAATGCAGCTTTACTTTTACAAAAAGACTTGTAAAGATTAAGTTGTTACATAAATAATCTTTCTTGATTTCATAAGGTACTCAAAAAATAAAGTATTTTACATAATACTCTTTTCTTCCTAGGTAAACTTCTTTGTTAACAAAATTTGTGAATAACGAATAGAATGTTTATCTCTCTTTTTTTTTTGCAAATCTTCACAAAATACTTTGACATACACAAAGTTTAAATAAAATAACTGACGGTTTAGAACTCACCATTGCAATAAAGCGACCAATAAAACAGAAGTATGAAAGATGGTCTGGATTAATAGTTGATGCTGGATTAATCTGTAGACAATAGTTGTTTTTGCCCGCATACTCAAATAAGCAATACATTGGGTTCAAAACTTCATGTGAAAGCAAGAAAAACCATTCTCTATAAGAAAATAAGTCAGGATTATTTTTCAGCATTCATATATGTACGTACATTTTAAAACAAGTCTTAAATATCCCCTTTTATATACCTGTGCTCAATAACCTTTACAGTTTCACTTCCCAGTTCCTCCTCAATGACAAAAGCCATATCTAATGTATTTCTTTTTATTCTTAACTCTCACAGGAATTCTAGGATCTATAAAAAATAATTTCATTTGTGTTTTGCTTTGTTTGTGGTGGTGCTAGGGATGGAGCCCAGAACCTCACACAGGCTAGGCAAGCGCTCTAACACTGAGCTGTAACCCCAGCCTCCACAACAGATTTTAATATACATTTCCTGATGCTGACGTACACAACACTGCTGCTACAGAACAGATTTTATCATGAATGCATTAAAAATGAAACTAAAATTAGGTGAAATCTTTAAATGTGATAAGCAACCTCTAATGTTTTGTCTCATTTTAGATAAAATACAACTAGATAAGCATAATTCCAAACTCAAATGCTCATAGAGGTCAATGAGTACATGGGGCTTAGTTAGCATTCTCTGCTTAGCCACAACCCCCAATTCCTCCTAACTGCCCTACTAAAGTCACTGGCTTTAAGGAGGAATTTCTAGGTACATTATCCTAGTCCTTAAGCCACCTGGGTAGTTGTGGGCACTGTAACAAAATAGAGTGTATACTATCGTAAAAGGGATTCAGCCAACTGATACAAGTGAGAAGCTGGAAATGTGGGTCTAGGGTTTTTAAAGAAAAATCAGAAATTTGTATCAACCTCCTGAGAGCGGATATTAAAGGCTCCCGGCCAGAAGTCTTGATTCTTATGCAGAATAATGTGATTTATTTTATTATCAAGTAATTAAAAAAATTTTCACAATGGGCCACTTTTATGCATGTTTATCTGCCCTGTATGGGCTTTCTTCTAGAGCTTATGAAACATAATCCCTGAAACTGCCTGAATGGAATGCAAGGAAGTCCCTAAACATAACCAATTAAGCAATATAAACACTAAATCATAGAAGACTCAACACAGGTGAACTAAGTGCTTCCCTCTGTAATGAGGTTAAAGACACACTGGCCAGGGAAGAGGATTGAGCAGGCATAGCCAGAAGGTGTTTAGATACATACACAAAAATGAGGAATAAAATTTCTTGTTGCTTCAGATCACATTTAGCAAATAGCAGCCCAGAGAAACTGAATGCATTCAAAAGGATGGTCATGTCACCTAGCCTTTGCCCTACTGCTAGCAGAAAAGAAGGAAAAACTCCTAACTAGCAAGAGATAGGAGAGTTAACTTTCAACATATTCTTCTCCAAACTTTCAAATAAAATGAAGACACACAAGAGGTTGACACAACAGATGAGCTAACAGGGCCTAGAGAAGAAATGAAAACAGTAAAACCACTAATGAAGAAAATCACATTAGAAGCAGCAAAACATAGAGTAGTACTGTAAACAGTGACATGAGGACGGGCTAGAGAAAAATTCAAATAAATGAAAAGCACAAAGATAAAAATGATTAAAGGTGACAGACATGTAAGACTGACAGAGGAGATTCCACATACCCATGACTGATGTTCCTGAAGAAAAAATGGAACAAATGGAATAGAAAAAAATATTCAAAGATACAATAGAAAACTTCCCTGAAATTAAGAAAGATCTTAATATGTTCCTTAAAAAGATATAAAACAATCAATAATGAAATTAATGAACTTCAAGGAAAAGAACTGTGTGGGTACCTAGAGAAAAGTTACCTACAAGAAGCTGACAGTACTGACATTCAAGGATAGAAAACAATGAAGCAACATCCACAGAGTACTGGGAAAAAAGTGCTTTGCAAGAAATTTACATTTAGTGAGGTTGTTGTTTTTATACAAATGCACCAGAAGACATTTTCAAACATGCAAAGACTGTAGGAATGTATCATTCCTATGTACTCTGGAATAAACCATTTGATGATAAGTCTAGCCTACCAACACATGAATCAAATAAAGAATTTAGGAACAAGAAACTCATGGTACACAGGAACTTGCTATACACACTACAAATGTCAAAATATAAAACTAGATCCAAACAGTTTAGGCAAATAAGGGTTCAAACAAGAATGTGAATATTACAAAGTCATACAACAGAATCATGACAGCATAGTTCTTCACTTCTACAATTTACCTTTCTTTGTTTTTAAATTTTATTTTATTAAAATTTACCTTTCTTTTAGAAGTCTAAACATTTCTGAACTGAGAAAAATCCATAGTAGGTGTGATATGAACATATATTGTGGTAGGTACTATTTATTTACTGAAAAAGCTTAGTAATGTTTTAGATGAAGAAATAGGTTTATAAACAAAATCTTAATAATCCCACCTGCATTATCATGTGTCTTCTCCCACCAGTTGTGCCTGATCTAGTACCTTTCTTTGTCTGTTAAAACAGATATTGTAATTCTGTACATCTATAAAATGTGAGTTCAAAAAGGGGAAGCTGGTGAGGTGGTGCATTCCTGTAATTCCAGCCAGGGGGAGGTTAAAACAGGAGGACTGCAAATTCAAGACTAGCCTGGGGTACATATTGAGCTCAGAGTCAACCTGAATAACACAGTGAGATGTCTCAAAAACAAACAAACAAACAAACAAACAGGAGTTGAATTCATAGCCAAAAACGAAACAAAACAAAAACAAACAAAAAAAGAAAATTCACTGTCAATTTTGGTTTATGCAAAGCAATTAAGGGAAAAAATTAAGTTACAAGGATTTTCCACTCATTGCTTCAAAAATGTCCACGGTTAACAGTATATTCAGTGAATGTGGAAAATTTTATTCTCAGAAGAAATGTAGATTAGATTAAAAACAAATATAAATGAACATACAATGTTACAATAGCAAATCCTAACAAATAACCTTATTCTTACCCATTCATTATGATATCTCCACGTACAGAATACTGTGTAGACATTTAAAAAAAAAGAGCATTCTCTCTTAAAATCTTAAATCTCTCTTAAAATTCTCTCTTAAAATTAATTGTTTTTTTTCTCTCTCTCAGGATCAAACCTAGGGTTTCATGCATACTAAGCAAGCATTCAACACTGATTTATAAACCTAGCCCCAAAATCAAATTCTCATAAATTATGCATTGTACAATTGTGTTAATAATTTATACAATATATAAATTATAATTTCTACATATGAAAAGAAAATGTACAGAAGGATAACCAAGGTAACTAATAATGGTTACCTTGACAATTGTGAAACTATTTTAAATTTAGGTTTAAAAATACTTCCAGACCGCTTCTCAGCCTTTTGGCTAAGATCAAGTGTAAAAATACTTCTGGAATACTATTGAAAAAAAATCCAATATATTCACATATCTTTTCAAGACTACATCCACCACATACTTAGAGATATATTTATTTCAAAGTAAATATATGTTAATTTTACCTTGCTAGGCCACCATAATCAAGTCCTTCTTCTCCTCTAAATATTACATATAATCGTCTCCTCAAGTCATAGGGTTTTAATGCCATAATCTGATTAAAACAAAAACATGAATATTTAAACACACACCGCACGTTATTTCCAAAACAATTTAATTTAAATTTAATCTATATTTTAAAAATTATACATTTTCTTATCTCATAGTGTCTTTAACTCAAGAAATCCATTTCTCTGTTCCACTGACTAGAAAAAAGAAGAAAGAAAAGAAAAAGAAGAGCAGGACAAACCCAAAGCTCATACGAGGGAGGAAATTATAAAGATCAGAGCAGAAATCAATGCAATGGAGACTAAGACAATAATATAAAAAATCAATGAAGCAAAGAGTTGGTTCCTTGAAAGAATAAACAAAATTGACAAACCCTTAGACAACCTTATCAGAAAAAAGGAAAGAAAAGGCCCAAATCCATGCAATTAGGAACGAAAAGGATGAAATTACAATGGACCCAGCAGAAATTCAGAGGATCATCAATACCTACTTCAAGAACCTATACTCCAATAAGATGGAAAACACAGAAGAAATGGACAGTTCCTAGATTCATATGAATTACCAAAGTTGAATGAAGAAGACCTAAAAATTCTAAACAACCCATTATCAATCACTGAAATTGAAAACGTAATTAAAAACTTATCACCTAAGAAAAGCCCAGGCCCTGATGGCTTCACTGCAGAATTCTACAAGACATTTAGAGAGGAACTACTGCCACTACTGTTTAAACTCTTTAATGAAATTGAAAGGGAAGCAATACTCCCAAATTCATTCCTGGAAGGAAGCAACCCCTTGATCCCCAAAGCAGAGAAAGACCCAACTGAAAAGGAGAACTATATATAGGTCAATCTCACTAATGAACACAGATTCAAAAATCCTTAATAAGATACTGGCAAGCAGAATGCAGAAGATCATCAAGATGATCATACACCCTGATCAAGTGGGATTCAACCCAGGGATGCAGGGTTGGTTCAACATACACAAATCAATCCATGTAATACAACATATCAATAGAGTCAAGGACAAAAACTACATGATCATCTCAATAGATGCAGAAAAAGCATCTGATAAAAATCAAACACACATTTATGATAAAAATCACAGGAAAAATAGGAATAAACAGTCTCTACCTCAATCTGATAAAAGCCATCTATGAAAAACCAACAGCCAGTATCATACTAAATGGTCACAAAAGGAAATCCTTCACACTAAAATCAGGAACAAGACAAAGATGTCCACTATCACCACTCCTGTTCAATATAGTTTTGGAAACATTAGCCATGGCAATTAGACAAGAGAAAGAAGTAAAAGGAATAAAGATAGGAAATGAAGACGTCAAATTGTCATTATTTGCAGATGACATGATACTCTATATAGAAGACCCCAAGAACTCCACCAAAAGTCTTTTAGACTTAACCAAATTCAGTAAAGTAGTTGGATAAAAGGTCAACACACAAAAATCAATAGTTTTCCTCTACACAAACAACAGACTCACTCAAAGAGAAATAGGGCAAACAATTCCTTTCACAATAACATCCAAAAAATTGAAATACCTAGGAATCAACCTAACAAATCAAAGACCTCTTCTCTGAAAACTATGGCACTCTGAAATGAGAGACTGATGATGATATCAGAAAATGGAAAGACATCCCTTGCTCCTGGGTAGGAAGGATCAACACAGTGAAAATGGTCATACTTCCAAAACTGCTATATAGATTCAATGCAATCCCAATTGAAATCCCAGCAGCATACTTCAGACCTTGAGAAAACAATCCAAAAATTCATTAGGAACCAGAAGAGACCTAGAATAGCAAAATCAATTCTAGGCAACAGAGACATGGCAGCGAATATCACAACCCCCAACTTGAAACTATACTACAAAGCTACTGTGATTAAAAACAGCACGGTGCTGGCAAAAAAACAGATCGGAGGACCAGTGCAACAGATTAGAAAATGCAGAAAACAACTCCATCCAAACTCAGCCACCTCATCTTTGACAAAGGAGCCAAACACCCTTACTAGAGGAAAGACAGCCTCTTTAATAAATGGTGCTGGAAAAATTGGGTTTCAACTTGCCAAAGATTAAAATTAGACCTATATCTATCACCATGCAATAAACTAAAATCAAAATGGATTAACCATCTAAATCTTAAAACAGAAATGCTGAGCCATCCCAAGCTCCTGGGGCAGAGAAGGTGAGCCTGTCCCAGAACCCGGAAAGAAGCTCCCCGACCCCCATCCCACGCTCCTTGGGCAGAGAAGGCGAGCCGGTCCCAGCACCTGGAAGGAAGCTCCCCCACCGCCATCCCAAGTGCCTAGGGCAGAGAAGGTGAGCTGCGCGGATACCAGAAGCACCCCTTCCCTCCGTGGAAATGAGAAGACACGTAAACAAGTCTCAAAAACAGACTTCTGGATCACCTACAGCAACCCCAAAGGGAAACGAGATGGAACAATCTGATACTCAACCCCCTGGACTCTCTGAACAGGCAGCAAGAGAAGATCTGGGAAAAATGAAATCAGAAATAATTACTCAGATAACAGCAAATATTTTTTGCTCATGGTGCAAGACATGATTAATAAATCTAGAGAGGACACAGATAAAAAAATAGAGGATCTGAGGAACAAGATGGAATCCCAACACAGG